GACAAAATTAACAGGACTTAAGAAGCAAAGAACTCCCACTCATCTGGGCGAACCACTTCTAACTATCCCCATGCTGCTGATCACATGTATGGTGTATATGTGTACACCGTTATATGTTATAGACCGTGATAGACAGTTTGCTCCAGGAAAGTTAGAATGAACTTGTGACTTTCAATGAGCATCATTATTCCACAATACTGTGAAATTCGGGAAATTATGTAATCATTTAATCACAATTAAAAAGAAAAACCCTCGGGGAAGGTAGCGAGGGAAGGGATGGTGGGGGGAAAACAATGGAGGGGGTAACAATGCTCAATAGGAAGTGTACTCATTACCTTGCTCATGTGGCTGTAACCCTCTCTATAGTACCTTTACAATAAAAAATTTAAAAAGAAGAAAGCCATGGTCAGTCTTACATGAGCTATAGTGCTCATTCAGACACGAGATGTTAGTGTTCTGCCCTGTACAATAGCTCAATAATAATAAATCAACAATATTTTGTGCCCATCCAGGGGTGACAAAAATAAAAATGAAAACAAATGATAACTAAATCAACAATACATATGAAATATAGTGTCTTTAGATAGAAAAATATATAAATCGGTGTTATGGATTTGTCAGTGGATAAAAAACATAGTTGGATAAATATAAAAATGAAAAGAGTACAATATAAGTACAGCCCTGTCTTAGGTGTGTTAATTATTAAACATAAAAAGGCTGAATAGATGACGCCTTCTATTAAACCACGAGCTAGACTTGTTTCACAGCACTTCGCTTAAACCGTTGGTGGGATAGCCATCAATTTTCATGTAATTCATCAATGCTTTGCCTTTTTAAAAACTGATTACGTGCTTACATAAACAAAGACTCTATGTCACCATCACACACCGAATAAAAATGTTAATTCTCCTCAATGAAGACACACTCAGACGCAACTCTTTGGAGTCTGTGTCCGTGTGTCACTTGGCCGACTCCCTGCCCACCTATCCCGAGATCCCTGTCCCCTCGGTCCCAGTGCTCCGGCCGAGCTGGTCCGTCACAACTTCCAGCTCTTTCTACTTTCCGTGGTGCTGAGGAATCCAACCCAGGTCCTCATGCATGTGAGGCAAGCGCTTTACCACTGAGCCACCTTCCCAGCCCTCATTATTAGTTTTAACGCCAGTACTGAAGATAGAACTCAGGGCCTAGATGCTGTTCCTTGGCTTTTCCACTCAGGCCTGGAGCTCTACCACTTGAGCCACAAGTGCCACGTGTGGCTTTTTGGTGGCTCTTTGGAGATAAGAAGTCTCCCTGCAACTCAGGATCCTCGGGTCTCAGCCTCCTGAGTGGCCGGGATGAAAGGTACAAGCTGCAGCAGCTCAGCTTGGACCTTAAGCTTGGCTGGCGCTCCTGGCCGGGGCTGGTACCTACGTAGGCAGGTGCAGGCCAGCCTTGCAGGAGGCTCTTACCGGTAGGGCCTGTTGCTGCAGGATCCTGGGGGCCGACTGGTGCTGGTTCTTCTCCAGCTCTGCCTGCAGCCTGGTGTTTTCAGCCAGCAGCACGGAGGAGAGGTGGGCAGGCAGGTTCTCGCCTGTGGGCAGCAGGTAATCACAGACGCGGGATATGGAGGCGGCTGCCCACGTGGCCAGGGGTGTGTGGGCCTGGGCCTTCCTGCCTCCATGTGTCTGCCCTGCTCTGCCTTGAATGTGCTTCCATTGCACTCCTCCTCTGCTCCACACCCCAGGCGAACACCCAGGACAGGTGTGTCGGTGGTTGTGATGTCTGAGGGAAGGAGTGTCTGGGTGTGGGAGGGGCCTGGGGAGGACGAGGCGGAGAGCCGGCCTTGAGCTAGCCCTTATAAGCACAGCCCTGAGGCCCGAGGCCGCTGCAGCGCACATCATGTTTCCCAAAGGCTTTCCTGGGCGCTCGGTCCTGGTGCAAAGCTGCCAGCCAGCCTGGGGCGCGCGCCGCCAGAGCCCCGGGCATCCCGGCGAGCCAGGCCGAGGCGCGGCCACCCTGTCCACGCCCGGGCCGCGTCCCTTCCACGAGATCCCGTCCCCGGGGGACAATGGCTGGCTGAACCTATTCCACTTCTGGAGGGAGGAAGGCGCCCAGCGCATCCACCACCACCACGTGCGAAGCTTCCAGAAGTATGGCACCATCTATAGGTGAGCACGGGCCCGCGGGGCTCAGCGCTGGGCTCCTCCCCACACAAGGATCTGCCCTGGGTCCCCCCCACAGCCTTCTGGTTTACAGAAGGAAAAGGCCTCAGGGTTTCAGACACTGAAGACTCAGCCTCACCCTGC